AGACCAGCAAACAAATCCCCAGCGGGCCCTGGGGGGGGGGGACTTCCCACAGGGCGACAACGGCAAGGGATGGGAAGCTGGACCCGCGGTCGCCACGGGGGTGGCGGCTGCTGCTGCTGTGCCGCAGGGCACGAGACTGGTGCACCTTTGCTTTCTGCCCTGCTCCTCCGGCTGCCCGCCCCAGAGAGACAGATGGGAAGGAGAAGCCGGCGGGGCCTGAGGAGGGCCAGGCGGATGGCAGACGGGCGCCAGTCACTGGCCCTTAGGCAGGCAGGTGAGCAGGCCTTGAGCCCTTCGCCTCCCCGCCCGCCTGTCCCAGAGCTACCTGCGGAGGAGGAGGAGGAGCGCCAGGCATTTAACACACGGGATTTCGTGCTTGGGGGCACTGATAGGCCTGGCAGCGCAGCTGCAGCAGCCCCACGAACTGGCTCCCTCCCTGCCTGCCAGGGGCCCCGCTGGGCCCAGGCAGCGCTCCCCTTGGCCCCCTTCCCCTGAATCCGCCCGTTGCCAGTCTCCAACCTTCTTGCCCCAGCCGGGCTGCTGGCGACAAGAGGCTGCCCGCCCGTGGGAGTCTGGCACAAACTGCAGGAGCAGGAGGGAGGGGGTGCGTGAGGCGTGGGAAGGGGCGTGCTGTGGAGCAGGGGCGCTCAGAAAGCCATGCTGGGGGCAGCCGGGTGGCGGCAGCAGGGGCCTTGCTGCGCCCCTGGGAGATCTGTGCCCTAGGCCGTCGCCCTAGTTCGCCTAGTGATAGTGAGAACAGCATTGGCTCTCCAGGGTCTCAGGTGGAGGCCTTTCACATCATCTGTTACATGATCCTTTTAACTGGAGATGCCGGGGATTGAACCTAGGATGTTCTGCTGCTGAGCCACACCCCCTCCCCATAACATTCTGCATAAATCAGTGGTGACTGTGGATTGATACATATCCCCACCAACCATGCATGGACACATGAAGATGCTTTAGAGTGAGTCAGCTCATTGGTCCATCAAGGCCAGTATTGTCTACTCAGACCAGCAGTGGCTCTCCCAGGTCTCAGGTAGAGGTCTTTCATGTCACCTACGACCTCAGCCTTTAAACTGGAGGTGCCAGGGGTTGAACCCGGGACCTTCTGTGTATAAAACAGAGGGGCTGCCATAACTTGGCTGCAATCTGATGGTACTTGGCACACACAGCTCATGGGGGAGGCGACAGAGATCCTTTGCGTAAACTCTGCTTCATTCATGGTTCTAGGAATTTAAGCCTTAAGTGCCATCCTCATTTATGGCACCCCCTCCTCCCCACCTGCAAATATAACCAGGGACAAGATACATTTAAGACCTCACCTATGAGTTTATGATTTCTTTTACAGTCTAAAACGGCTGAAATCTTGCACTCTGTTCTGCCGCTTCACAGGCTCACTTAACCAGTGGGTTTTAAGCAGCCAGCTATATATGCCTAGACTGTCCGTCGTACGCCTGCTCTCAGTGCAGAGCTATGAGATTTGAGGGCATTCTGAGTGTGCTGTTTAAAACCACAAGTTATTTACCAATTGAAGCAGCTCGAAGCAAAAGGCAGCGTGGGGATTTTTCCTAGATCACTGGCGCCCTCTGGGGTACTAGCCGCTTACAGGCTGTTTTAATAGGGGAGAACAGGAACTGAAAGCCCAGAGAAGTCTTGTGGACTGCAAGGCTGGAGGTTCCAAAACAAACCAGGCTTCTTGGTCTACCCATCAGCAATGTTCCCTCTAAGCCGTGGAGTCCTGTGAGCAAAAATTCTACTTTGTGAGTTACTGGCATTAAAGCTGTGAGCGAGCGATTTGGCTGCTGCATCAATTAGCTTGCTCTGGAGCCCTCCTTCCTGAGCGAAGACAAAAATGTGTGAGCCGGAGGCTAAAAAACGGTGAGCTAGCTCACACTAACTCAGCTTAGAGGGAACACTGCCCATCAGTAGGGATGCCAACCTCCAGGTCATCTGCAGACTACAGAGATCAGTTTCCCTGAAGAAAATGGATGCTTTGGAGGGTGGACTTGAAGGCATTGTGGTCCACTGAGGTCCCCCGTCCTCTCCAGGCTCCATCCCCAAATCTCCAGGAGTTTCCCAGCCTGGATCCGGCAACCCTGCCTCCATCACCCACTGGTGGCCAGGGGGGACCTGGCAACCCTACGCTGTCAGCCAGAACTGTCAGCAGCAGAACAGTGGCTTCATCAGTCCTTTGCAAACTGAGCGCCTCCAATTCTTTCTTTCTTTAATTCATTTAGACCCCCATCTGTCTCCCCAATGGAGATCCAAAGTGGCTTACATCCTTCTCCTCTCCTCTTTATCCTCACAACAACTCTGTGAGGTAGGTTAGGTGGAGAGAGTGTGACTGGCCCAGCAAGCTCCCATAGCATTTGAACCCGGGACTTCCAGATACTACTCTTAACCACTACACCACACTGGTCACAGGACCCCAACCTAAAAAGAAATACATGTGAGCTGAAAACTCACATGGCTGCAAGCCAGAATTTAGTGATCACTTTAAAATTTGCATTTAAGTAAATGCATTTATTCAGATATCCCCCCCCCTTGCGGGGATCCAGAACCAAATCCAACACTATTCTCTCCTCTCCATTCCATCCTATGAGACAGAGGAGACTGAGAAAGAGGGACTGGCACTTTAAAATTTGCATTTAAGTAAATGCATTTATTCAGATATCCCCCCCGAAAAAACAGGGATCCAGAACCAATTCCAACAGTATTCTCTCGTCTGCATTCCATCCTATGAGACAGAGGAGACTGAGAAAGAGGGACTGGCCCAAGGTCACCCAGCAAGCTTCAGCGGCAGAGAACATAATTTGAACCTGCGTCTACCAGCTCCTAGTCCAACACTGCAACCACTGCATCACAAATACTCACATTAAGAAAATGTCCAGTCTCGCTGCCCGTAGGTGAACAGCTCTGCACACGGGATTGTTAAACTTGTTCCAGCAGCACACACTTTCCTGCTCTAGAACTAACCTATAAACAGAGCAAAACCCTTCTCAAAAGAATATGCCCAGTATTCTCTGACTGACCTACATCCTCTTACATTTCTCCAGGCACAGTGCCAAGTGACATTAAAACCAGAGATTCCCCCTTCATGCAGTGTATGCCGTATCAGAAATGCAATTCAAACAAGATACAAACAGGGGTCACAGTGTGCAGGCACATGCCAACAAACAAGAAACCACTGTGATCAATGCCAATGACACATTTAATAAATTTTACAATGAAACAGAATCCAACTTATTCATTATCTCAATTTTACATTAAAACAGAGTCCAACTCATTCATTTTCTCAACAGAGTCCAGCATTTTCCTCTCTTTACTCGATGAGTACACCGGTTTTTACACTCATTTCAAAGGTCTTCCTCAAGAGCAATTTTATAAAGTTCTTATAGAGTTGGAAGGTGTTTTCTTCAATGAATTATCAGTTCCATTGCATTTCTTGGATAGGAGCAAGCCAATAATTGAAATATCTATTAGTAGCAGCCAGTTTTAATGTAAAATTGAGATAATGAATAAGTTGGACGCTGTTTCAATGTAAAATTTATTAAATGTGTCATTGGCATTGATCACAGTGGTATCAGAAATGCAGCCACCTATGGACATCAGAAGCTGTCTTTTGGACCAAGCTCAAACATCCACCCATCTAGCTCAGTGCTGTCTCCTCTGGCCAGCAGCAGCAGCTCCTCCTCAGGTGGAAAGAGTCTCTCTCAGCATCTGCTGCCCTGCGCTGCCAGGGACTGGCTCTTCTCCCACTGAGCCACAGCCTCTCCCAATACAACATGGGGCTGAAATATTCTTACTAATTATCCCAGATAACCTGACCATTTACACAAATCATAGTGAAATGAGATTTAATCTTTATTGCTTCCCCATGGATTGCTGACATGGAAGATGACTGATATACAGGATTTTAAGAGGCCTTGTTGGCACAGCCAGAGCAGTTGGGACCCATGGTCCATCTAGGGCTGGCAAACCTTTTAGCAGCTTCCACAGAAAGGAGTTGTCAAAATGTGATCCTGGAATCAGCGAGGTTCCTCAAAAGCTTGTCAGGGCTTCCTCAGAAAGGCAACTGGTTGCAGCAGACAAGATGTCTAAAGGACTTCTTGCTGTCATTGCTAAGTTTGCTCTTGAAATGCATAGCTGCGGGAGAGGAAAGGGCTGGGAATCTTCAGAAGTGTGCTTTTAGTTGACGTGAGTCCAGCACGTTCAGGCGGAGCCGTGAACAAACTAAGGACATATCCCAGAATCCTCTGCAAAGTGCTCCCCAGCGGATGAACTAATAAGGAAACAGTTCCCCCGACAGCAGGGGAGTTTGAAATGTGCTACTTGAGACTGCAATCCTCCTTCTTTAAAATCAATGGGTCCTAGCAGAATGACACACCAGCAGAGAGAACTCTAGGCTGCCTTGAATCTAATGCTCACAGATCCCCTCAGAGAACACACCGTGTTTCTAGTTAGTATCACTTTACATTCCAAGATAGGTCAAGACTTGCTCTTTTCCACTTTACATTTAGTTAATGTCCTGGCAGACAGAGGAGAGAACTCAGAGCAGTGAGGGGGTCTACTTTGGTAGGGAAAAGACATTTTATAAGCTACTGACCGAAATGGCCATGACACTTGGGGCCAGTCTCTCTCTTTCAGCCTAACCTCCCTCAAAGGCTTGTTGTGAAGATAACATGGAAGAAGAGAGAACCACAAAGGCTGCTCTGAGCGCCTTACAGGAAGGGGCAAAATAAAAAAGATGCACTTGGTGTGGCTTAGGTAACTTTAATTTACAGACCACAAGATAAAAGCAGTGCTTCTGAATTTGGTATATTTAATAGTTACTTTACAACCTTTGGGTCAAGTAAGAGGCGTAAAAAGAATTAAACTGGGAGTCTGAACTGTTGCTCACAGAGAGTTTGAACTGGAGTCTGAACTCGAGTCTGAACCGTTGCTCACGTCTCCAACTCCATTCTTAGCCCAGTTTATATTTCAGGAGACAGCTCCCCTAACTGGACAGTGAGTGCAAACGCTAACATGGTAGGAGTCATCCCCGTGGTGGCTACTCCTCTTAGAGCCGCTTGCTTCACCCTCGATCCAGATCCTAGTGAACACCAGACAGCTGAGGCTGACCAGAAGGGTTTCCTTCGATCAGCGTAAAACAGCCACCATCTTATCTCATTCAATAGCGTCAGAGCTGTTTGCCGGGAGGGTGTTATTAAGAGAAGGGAAGGCGGAGGTACTGACACACACACAGCATCGGCCGCCTCCCCCCCCCCTCCCTTTGCCATTTTATTACAGGTATAAAACCGAGGTTCGACGGAGCACAAGAACCTGTCCCGCCATCCTGGCCACCACGTCCCTCCCAGATAGGACCAGGGACATTTTGTTATCACCAAAGTGAGGACACAAGGGGGGGGGGGAGGCCCAGTTTTGGGTTGCTTGCCATTGTGGGGCAGGTAGGATTTCAACAAGTTTGTTCAGATCCTCTATATTAGGGAAAGCGGCGATGGTAGAAGGGGGTGGAAGCTTCACCTGATGCATTTCTGCCTGCCACACAGAAGTCCTGCGGGAAAGGAGGGCAGGTAGCATTTTCTAAACAGGGAACGCCTTCTGATTTCCTCTTACGCAGAGATTCCCCCCCCCATTCCCACCCCCAGACGGCAAACACGGACCCCTGCTGCTCCCTGCAAGCGACACCCCCACCTCCGCCTTCCCTCCAAGGCTCCTCCACCCAGCTCTGAAATCCGACCTTGGCCCCGAAGAGGCCACAGCAGCCGCGCTTCCCTTGGCGCCTCCCGGGTCGGTGGCAGCTCCAGACTCCGCTTTCTCCGAGCAGGCCCCGCTTGGCCCAAAGAGACTCACACAACGCGAACCCTCTCAGCACCTCTCACTTCCGGCTCTCAGTTGCAGTGTGCGCAGACGCTGCCACGCGAGTGGCGGTAGCACCTCGGGAATCTAGAGGCCGGATTCTTTTCCTTTCGTCGCCCTGCTTTGAGCGCATCGCGTCACTCCGGATTTGCAGCGCAGGAGAAGCGCTCGTGAGGCGGCTGGTTGATGTTTCGCTCTCGTTTGCGATACGGAGAGGAGGCGCACTGATTTATTCATTGATAGAGGTTGCGCTCTTAGGGTTACTATTTGCCTCGAAAAGAAATCCCTTGTCCCTTTAAGGAAGCCTTAATGGCCTGTTCCTTCTGTGCTGCCATTGCGGGCAGAAAATGAAGCATGTTTACAAAATCATCACAAAAGGAGAAGACCGACTGAAGGTTATTCTGTTGGCAGCGAGATCTAGCCTAGAGGGAGCGAGCGCTCTGCTAGGAAGTTGAAAGCAAGCGGGGACTAGGGAGCTGTGATTTCTCCGGAAACCCAGATTATTGTTGCCAAAGAACAGGAGTTGATCGTATATCCAGCTTCTGCGTTCCAAACATCTACTCTGCCTGGGGTGGGGGGCAATGTTCCCTCTAAGCTGAGTTAGTGTGAGCTAGCTCACAGAATTTTAGCCTCCAGCTCACAGATTTTTGTCTTAGCTCAGGGAGCATGGCTCCAGAGCAAGCTAATTTATGCAGTAGCCGAATCATTCGCTCACAACTTTAATGCCAGCAGCTCACAAAGTAGAAATTTTGCTCACAAGACTCCACAGCTTAGAGGGAACATTGGTGTGTGAGTGAAAATATTTGTGTTAATAAGTTTTGAGACACTTATTTCTTTCTTCATAACAAAAGCCCATGTCTCTTCCACCCCTGCCTTTCTTCTCACTGCGCCCTTGTCGAATTGCTGTTGAAATTAAATTGTGGGGCTTCGTTTGGGATTCGGAGGGGGGGGGCGGGGAGAAAAGACGGCAGAGCTTAGAAAGGGCTAAGGTTGCCAGCTTTGTGAGCTACTGACATTAAAGTTGTGAGTGAGCGATTTGGCTACTGCATAAATTAGTTTGCTCTGGAGCCATCCTTTCTGAGCTGAGACAAAAATGTGTGAGCCGGAGGCTAAAAAACTGTAAGCTAGCTCACACTAACTCGGTTTAGAGGGAACACTGGTTACAGCTGATCTTCAGAAATTAGAGGTCAGGTCCCCTGGAGAAAATGTCCGCTTTGGCAGGTGGCCTCCCTAAACTCCATCCTCCTCAGGCCCCACCCCCAAAATCTCCAGGTCTTTACCGACCCAGAGCTCATAACCCTAGAAAGGACTAACCCCGCAAAGAGAAAACGAAAACTGCAAACTTTATCTAGCTTGCTTTCGGTGGGCGGTGAAGGCATGATGGTTTTCCAGACATGCAATCAAAAGGCGCCCACTACCTTTTTGGGGTTTTACACTGAAGTTGCCCCGCAAGATGATGACTCCAGAAACTTCAATCTAGAACCTGTGTTTTGTTTTGTTTGCGAAATCGTACCTTTGTAGCTCCGTAGGGCTCTTTGTGTCCCCGTGCTCACGGAATGGAAGAGCGCAAACGAGCCTTGGAAGAGTCGCTTTCCGGCAGAGCCTTGCGAGTTAGCGCCACTTGGTGGCCGGCGGATGAAGCAGCAGCTCGATGCTGCGTTAAATGGTATGGAGGAAGGACGTGTTCTTCTTCGTTTAAATCAAAGGTGGCAGACGGTCGAGCTTGCTTTTTTGACCCTGTGACTTGTCAGATTTGTGCGGGTGAGTTGGTGGACAGAATTTTCGAAGAAAAGTCAGCAGCATTTTTTCACTTCGTTTACATTGCCAGCAGTCGGGTTACCAATCTCCAGGTGGAGCCTGGAGATCTCCCACTATTATAGCTAATCTCCGGACAATAGCGATCAGTTCCCATGAAGAACTTTGGTACTTTGGAGATATACTCGATGGCATTATACCCCTTGAGATATCTTCTGCCCAAACCCTGCCCCCCCAGGCTCCAACCCATTGTGCACTGGGTCACCAAGTTGCTACATTCAGCCCCAGTCACCTATTTCACATATTTTTTGTAGAAACTGCAGAGTGAACATGTGTGAGTTCTTAGTAGTCACTTTCCTTGCGCAAGGTGGGTCGTGGTAAAGCAGTACAGCAGCTGCAGGTGTAATTTCCTCAACATTCATACTTATATTGTACAAAACAGATCTTATGACCCATTGAATTGTTGTCTAGGCAGTAACTGATATAAATAAGATGCAAGACTGATGGTTTCCAACGTGGTATCATGAGCCAATTTAACAAGATAGTCACTCTGGGAAGATTTTTGCAAGCCTTTCCTATTTTGCACCTTTCTCTTTAGATTTTTGGCCTAAAATTATTAGTTTCTACCACATTATGAATCAGCTAAATCACAGATCATATTCAAACAGTCTCAGAAAGAGGGGGCAGAAAAAGACTGAAAAAGACCCCTGCCTGAGAACCTGTGTCAGTTTTTGGTAAGACGGGATCTAGTCTGATGCAGTCTAAGGCAGTGACATCAAGGCTGCAATGGATGAAGATGCAAAAGAAAGAAAAATCTCTGAAAATGTCAATGATTTAATGCTTCTTTTAGATAAGGAAAATGCTGTTGTTACAAGACTAGGCAGATTGCTGTGTCTATATGCTTACATGTTTTATTTTCAGTCCCTTTCCTGATAATGCCGTGCCCAGTGTTAACATTTTCATCAAGCTATCCAGCATAACTCCAAGATTTCTTTTCTTCTCAATTTCTACCAGTTTGGTCCCCATCAGCATGCTTTTAAATTCAGATTTTGTGTGCATCACTTTACACTTGTCTATATTGACTCCACTTGTCACAGTGTTGCCTACTCACCCAACTTAGAGAACTCCTTCTCACAATATGCCTTGGTTTTTACAAGTGTGAAGAATTTGGTGTCATCTGCAAATCTGGCCACCACACTACTCATCCTAACTTCTAGATCAGTTATGAAAAAAATTCTAACCCACGGCCCCAACACTGTTCCTTGTGGGCCCCCCTCGGCTCACCCCCATCTATTGCTGAAACTGTCTATTTATTCCTACTCTTTGCTTCCTGCATTTTAATCGATCTTTGTTGGATATTTAGCAGAGTAAAGGAAGTGCAGTGGAATAATGCAGCAGAGCCACGTGTGCATTTAAATTCTAAGAAAAAGTTTACTTTAAAATTAGGGAAAGGATTACATGGAAAGAAAGCAGCAACAGTCTGACTAACTCCTCTTTCTAGTTCTGATCTACTCCATCTTGTTTTTTTGTTCCCTCATTAAAAATAAAACTTCCCCCTTTTTGGTGGGAAGAGGCCACTCCATACCTAATTAGTTATTTATTATTATTACTAGGAATAAGACTCATTGTGGAAATAAATACAATGAGCTCTAGAAAGAGGCTCTGGGAGAGTGCATCAGCCTTGGGCACTCAGCGTCAATTTGCTGAGGCAACCTCAGCAGGGTATAATGACACAGAGTCCACCATTTTCTCCAGAGGAACTGATCTCTGCTACCTGAGGAGTTGTAATTTTGAGTGATCGCCACCCCTCCCCTGGAGATTGGCAACAGTGGTTCCCCAGGAGGAAATGGTTGGTTTGGAGGGTGGAGTCTATGGCATTGTACCTGTCTGAGGTCCCTCCCCTCCTCAAACCCCACCCTCTCCAGGCTCCACCCCTCAAGTCTCCAGGAATTTCCCAATATGGAGTTGACAACTCTCTCCTTCCCAGCCATGCATCGACCTGCCGTTATCTGCCCCTCACTCTTCAGCTTTCCGTCTCCCTCACACACACCTGCAGCCTGTACCGTGCTCTGAGGCACTGACTGCTGCATCACATTGGCTGTCATAGGAGGGCCATCTCAGCAGAGTATAAGAACACGAAGTTCACCATTTTCTGCAGGGGAACTGATCTCTGCCATCTGGAGAGCAGTTGTAATTATGAGTGATCTCCAGCCATCCCCTGGAGATTGGCAACAACAGTTCCCCAGAAGGAAAAGTACACAGCAATCTGCCTAGTCTTGCACAGCCAATGGGAGAGCTGGAAAGTGCCACCCCACTACTCAATGATATATAAGGAGAAATTGTGTTTATGAATCGCCCAATCCCTGCCATCGCAGGGCTCTGGGCAATGTACAGTATCCATTAAATAGAAACTAGATAAAACCAATTAAAACATTAATAAAACATTCCCAGAATCAGATGGCGAATAAATAGTCAATCCCAATTCCAACTGCCGGCTACTTCAGTGGGCAGGGGGGAAGAGGGTGAGGTTGATGTAAATTCTATGCTAAACTTGCTATTAGTTTACAGAAACTTCAGCTTAACCCTTTTCATGACTGAACAAATGATACTTGCAAAACCCAACCCTTTTTAATTCATAAGATGCATCCTCTTAACCCATGAGTGCTAAACTTAGGAGTCTTTGGTAAGGTACCTTGTCAGAAGCCTTTTGGAAGCCCAGTCTGGTGTAGTGATTAAGTGTGCGGACTCTAATCTGGGACAACCGGGTTTGATTCCCCACTCCTCCACTTGCAGCTGCTGGATGACCTTTGGCAAGCCATAGTTCTGTCAGAGCTGTTCTTGAAAGAGCAGATCTCTCAGAGCTCTCTCAGCCCCACCTACCTCACGGGCAATGTTCCCTCTGAGTTAGTGTGAGCTAGCTCACAGTTTTTTAGCCTCTGGCTCGCTCATTTTTGTCTCGCTCAGTATGGCTCCAGAGCAAACTAATTTATGCAGTAGCCAAATCGGCCACTCACAACTTCAATGTCAGTAGCTCACAAAGCTGACAACCTTAGCCCTTTCTAGGCTCTGCCGTCTCCCCCCCCCCCCCCCAAAACCAAATGGCCTCTTTTTGTAGAAACCATGCTGATTTTCCCTCAGCAGGCTTTGTTTTTCTGCGTGCTTAATTCTCTTTTCATTTTTTTAATTTTACAAATATACAAAAACATCAATCACCATAACGATTCTGTATTTAACAACAATTTCTACTATTTCACCTGGAACAGATATTAAGTGAACCGTCCTGTAATTTCCTGGATCCCTTCTGGACCCGTTCTGTAAAATCATTGCAACATTTGCTGATTTCCAGGCCTCTAGCACAGAGACTACTTTTAGCAACGCCACATATTCTGGTTAGTAGAGCAACAATTTCATATTTGAGATTTTTAACCCCTTTGGGTATATGCCATCTAGATCTGGAGACCTCATCATTTTTTATTTGCCCAGTAGTTCTAGAATTTCATCTTTCATTACTTCAGTTTGACTTATTTCATCAGATACCCTTCCCAAAAACCATGGCTCTGGCACGGGTACATGTCCAACATTTCCCATAGTGATAACAGATGCAATGAATTAATTCAGTTTCTCAGCTATCCGTAAGCAATCCTGTTTGTACTCTATCAACCAAAGGGCCCTGGCTGATTTTCTGCTATATTGGAAGAAATGCTTGACGTTCTTCGTAACCCACTCCTCACATTTTTTTCTTATTGTCAAATTATTTCACAGTACCATTTTAACATATTCAGAAGGGTTTTTTGTTACACGTTACCCCCACTAGCCCAATTTGTCAGATCTCAGAAGCCAAGCAAAATCAGCCCTGGCTAGTATTTGGATGGTCACCATATGTCTGCTGTGACTTGACTGAAAAAAAACACCACACACATACCGATTAAAAAAAGACTATATTGTAGTGGAATAATTAAAACTGGGAAAACATTTCCAATAGCCCTGTCAATAATTTATTGCAGTTATTAGTACCGGGGGGGGGAATCAAAGACATGGCAAAGACGTCATTCCAGATGACTATAATCTTCAAGTATTTAGTGCATTCTTCAGCTTCAACAATGTAAAAACTGTAACAAACTGAGCAGCAGCTTCAAATTAAGGTCCAGTCCAGATATAATGCAATGAGGCTTTTCTTGACTTTCCCAAGGTTCAGTACCATGTCTCAAGAAGGTTGCCAGGGAAGTAATACTACCCCCACCCACAAAAGGACATTATACCAGTGCAAAGCCATATGTAAGTCCCTGAAGATTGGGGCATACTCAACAGTTATTGTGGACAGTAACTGCTGTGGTTACTGCAGTAGTCTGTACGAGTCAGTACATTTTTTGTAGACAATGGGTTGGATCAAACTAGCTTTTTCACTGGTATAAAAGGTAGGAGGAAGTCCCGTTTGATGACCAAAAGAAAAAGCTATGTTAGGGGTTTGGGGTATGTGTGGACAAACTCAAATGCATGGATTTTGTCATCTTCTGGGCATGGAACAGGGGTCAGTGGGGGTGTGGGGGGAGGTGTTTGTGAATTTCCTGCATTGTGCAGGGGGTTGGAATAGATGACCCTGGACTTCTCTCAGGTTCTAGAGTGAAATCTTTAAAAGGGCCTGAAAAATAAATCCTCAGTTTCTTGAACAAGTTTCTTACAGAAATTATGGATCCTGATGAGACATTCAATTAAACACTGAAGGCTGTGATCAGAAATGCCTTGTATACAGAAACACCTTGGACGGATTCAATGCAGTCCATTATTCACCCAAAAGAATGAAGTCATGGGGATATTAGTTGCATAGTTCTTATGGTTTGTGTCCCATGGAATGGAACTGCAGAGAATACTGCAGTAGCCGCATTTCTTCTGATCTTCTTGGCAAGCAATCTTTTAAAATGTTATTTTGATTCAGGACAAATTATGTGTCTATTTCTAAAGTCCAAGGTACTTTTTAAGAAACCAAACATATGTACAAAATATTAAAGTTTTTCCTTCCAGTTGTAGCTGCTTATGGTTCTCAGGAGTGGGTAACTGATGTTTTGAATTATCAGAACCAAAAATGTTCTCTCTCTCTCTCTTTCTCTCTGAACGCAAAGAGTGCTGTGCTGGCAACCAAAGAGGGGGCTGGCCCTTATTTAAGAACCAAAAAGAAGAGGGAACAGCTCTCAAAGTGCTGATCACAAGTCTTCTTCTCTTATCTTCTCAAACACACAGTCGTCCTCATTTGGTCTACCCGACAGCCTTTTCCTCAGCATAAAACCAGAATGAAATATCTGTGCAGAACCAAAACATAGTGGTATGATAAGCAACTCAAAAGAACAAAAATGCTAAAGAACAACTAAAATCAACATTGATATCATACAAAGGCATCTGCACCAAATTTGTGCAGCAGCCCAATCAGAAGGATTAATGTAGAAGTACATCATAACTTGTGCATGTTAGGTTCTACCAGGGGTCGTTTCGTAAAAAAAGAGCTAGGGGAACTCATTAGCATAACTCATTAGCATATGCCACACCCCCTGACATCACCGGAAGTGTGTCATAAGGCCACACACCCCGCCCCCAATGGTCCCGGCC